AGATGTAGATTGAACTTTAATGCAGAGCACAGCCAGTAGATGGCGCTGCAGTGCAGAGCACAGCCAGTAGATGGCGCTGCAGTGCAGAGCACAGCCAGTAGATGGCGCTGCAGTGCAGAGCACAGCCAGTAGATGGCGCTGCAGTGCAGAGTACAGCCAGTAGATGGCGCGGCAGTGCAGCCAGTCAGTGGTTGTTCATGGTGGGCAGCAGTAGATGGAGCAGCTGGACATTTGTTCTTGTGTTTGCTGAATGTTAATAAAGACCAGTCATTCCCAGAAGTAATTCATCACCTGCAGCCTTATAAAAGACATACAATCATTTTTGTGTTTGWTAAAACTGATTGTCTTTCTGTTTATTTTAAATTCCATCAGTTTAAACCAAGRGAAGCCTTGCAGAATGAAGGAGTGTGTTGTAAATATCACTCAGCTACAAACACATGAGGTTTTCTGCACAAAGGCTGTGAAATGAGCTGATTTTATCCTTTGTTGTGTTTTCTGAGGTCAGCTGGTTCTGCTGCTTGAAGTGGATMAATCCAAAGATAAACCAGTTTAGATGTTCTTCCAGTCATTACTTTTTGRACTTTCAGTAGAATGAGTTCAGTAGTTCATACAATGTTTTGCTAACAGACACATGAACACACAGCCATGTGTAAAAGCATGGTGGGGGTTTGTCTTTAAGGCTTGGTGATAATAACAGTGAGTCAGTCTGTGTGACTCGACTTCCTCACGTTCTGCCCTCCTTATCTTACAGCAAACCAGTAATGTGAGCGCCACTCTGGTCTTGGCACGGCCAATCAAAGGGCCCAAACACGTGGTGCTGGAGTTGGAGATGGTCACGGTCAACAACGTCATCAACTTCAGAGGCAGCTCCATCATCCAGCTGACCATATTTGTCTCAGAGCATCCATTCTGACCGTCCCACACAGACGATCTGCTGGGAGACTGGTGCATGATGAGCTGGTGTACTGGTTCTTTGTTTTGCTTCATCAATGTGTCATCCTCCAGTAAGTCCCAGTCAGAAGAAGCTGATGGGAAGGCAGTGCTGGGCTCAGATCCTGAGCTCAGARAGATAATTATAGTGTATTATTTCTGACCTCCTCACCTCTGGCAGAATGACTGAATTAACCTGAAACAGGATTGGTTTTCAGGCAGAACATGAGTGGAAGAATCCCTGATCATTTAAAGGGGTAGTCTGGTCATTTTTCAATTGATATTTGTCAAATAGAGTACTTTATCAGCCAAAGAGTACTGAGTGTGAAGTAAAACCAAAAGTTATCCAGCAGGCTAGGCTAACAGATAACATCTCTGTTCAAACATGCAGTAATGTTGACATTCAGGAAAGAAAACRGTCACAAACTAAACTAATGTCTTTTGCAACGATCTGCACCCAGACCTGTTAAATGTCAGTAGAATTAGTGTTTTACTTCTGTACATTTTGTATGATTTGTGATCATTTATTTTAGTAAAGAAAATGTGCGCGGCTATCAAGATGAGAGGAAGGATGGAGTTTTTATTCAGACTGGATGAACTTTCATTTATTTATTAGTTTAAAACCATCTGTGTTGTTCAGGTAACGATGAATAAAATCTGTCATGTAAACAGTTTCTTCAGATTATCACTAAAATCTGAACTGAGAACAAAGAATAAAGTTTGACAGAACCACTAACTGTTCACCAGCCCAAACTTCAGCACAGTTTTACTTTATTTTGCCATAAATGTCACGACTGCAGAAACTTTATAACTGTTGCTATTTACAGCGGGTAAAATAAGTATTGAACACGTCACCATTTTTCTCAGTAAATATATTACTAGAGGTGCTAATGACATGAAATTTTCACCAGATGT